ACGCCTTGTATAATATGAATGTGTTGGACTGCGGTTGACTATTTGTATTGTACGGCGGGTTGTTGACGTGTCCGGGGAGGTCCGGGGCGTGACAATTAAGTTGGTATCAGAGCCTTAGTCCATAAACTTCATAATGAAGTCTCAAAATTCTCTTTTCAAAATGATTTTTGAAAACCATGAGCAAAAACGTTTTGTACTTAAGAACTTTTGGTGTTTGAGTTGCAAGGTCTCTAATTGTTAAGATGGCGCCCTTAACGATTGGTATGGCGGTGACTTGGCCCAAGAGATGTCTTAAGTGCCTATCTGTCAGTTGACATTTGAAACGAGTCTAATGACTCATTCTAATTATTTCTTTCAGCGATGGAGGGTGATGGTGGTATTATGAATAGGGAGAACTCGGAAGGGTTTGCACCGGGTGGAACCGGGCATGCCAACCGAGAAAAGCCCTTAGGACCAAAGGTGCACGAAACTCTTGAAGCTCAAATCGTGAGTGGTGGTCATGTTAAGACCAAGGAAGAATCACCTTGTTATGGCAAAACTGAACCACTCAAGGCTTCGGGTGACGAAGGAGATGATTTGAGTGATGAGGACCTTGATGGTGCACCCATTGAACAAATGGGCATGGTCATAGATTGGCTTCAACGTGAACGTGTGAGGCTTATACAAAAACGCCAAGCTAGGCAAGCTGAGGGCATACCATTAGTAAGGAAAAGGAAGCGGGGAGACAACGATTCCCAAAGACATTCAAGGAGGACAAACGTTGAGGGTGACAAAACCTTCGGGGCGCAGACACTATCACTTGAGTGGAGTCGAGGCTTAGGTGGCCCGAACTCGAGGTCAAAAGGTCCGAGGGTACCTAAGTGCAACAATTGCAAGAAACACCACTCGGGTAAGTGTCAGGACCCTCCCAGGTGCTATCAATGCACAGAGGTCGGGCACACGAGAGTGAGTTGCCCACAAATTGTGCAAAACCAAACTTCGGGGTCAAGTGGTGGAACTACAAGAAATGAAAACCAAACCGAGGTTTCTCAAGGGAGCAGGGGACATGGGGGAGCAAGCACGAGCAACGCGCCATCCGTGAACCAAGGAAGGACCCAAGCTAGGGTCTATGCGATGACGGAGGCGGATGCTCAAGCTAACCTGGATTCCGTTGAAGGTAGTACCTCTTGTATACTTGTTTTTTATCCTTAATTAGTCCATAAATTGAGGTTGCTAGTCGTTGGGATCATTGTACGAAGCTTTGGGGTCAAACGGAGCGAAATCGGGCGAAAGACGGCTGATTTCCGCCAACGCACACCAGGCTGGACCATACGCACGGCCGTGCGTTGTCCGTGCGTTGGTCCGTGCGTTGGTGGCAGTAGCAACCGGTAAGAAATTGCTATACGCACGGCCGTGCGTTGTCCGTGCGTTGGTCCGTGCGTTGGTGGCAGTAGCAACCGGGAAGAAATTGCTATACGCACGGACGTGCGTTGTCCGTGCGTTGGTCCGTGCGTTGGTGGCAGTAGCTCCGTTTTGAGGTTATAAGACACGCACGCCGTGCGTACCTCCTAGGCACGCCGTGCGTACCTCCTGGGCAGCCCAAAGTCGACTTTTTCGCGCCGTATTGCAACGTTAAGACCCGTTCTTGATCCCAAACATGTGTGTGAACATTGTAACCTTCTATAAATGAGTAGGGAGGGTAGGAGAAATGTCTTACATGGTTCATGAATGTAGGGACACTAAAGATTAATGGGAAGGATGCGCGAATCCTTATCGATACCGGGGCGCAACGTTCATTTGTGAATGAAGCGTTCGCCAAGAGATTGGAAGTGCAATCCGCACTGTTGATGCAAACCTTAGTGGTATCAACACCACTAGGGGATGACGTGGAAAGAACTTGTTACTATCCATCTTGTGGGGTGGAAGTTAAGGGTCAAACCTTGACGTGTGACTTCGTACCGCTGAGCATGATTGAATTCGATGCAATCCTAGGGATGGATTGGCTAGAAAGGAACCATGCTAGGGTAGATTGCTACACGAAGGTTCTTGAACTCGAAGGCAATGATGGGGAGACCCTACGCTTCGAGGGCGATCGAGGGAGATCAAATAGCTGTATCATATCCGCCGTGAGAGCGAGAAGTATGATGAGAAAGGGATGCCACGCATATCTAGCATACGTGGTTGACAAAACCAAAGAAGAAACGAACATCGATGATGTGAGGGTGGTTTGTAAGTATCCGGGTGTCTTCCCTAAAGACCTACCAGGGCTTCCACCTGATAGAGAGATTGAATTTGTGATCGAGGTCGAGCCCGGCACCAAACCAATCTCCATACCGCCATACCGTATGGCACCCGCTGAACTTAACGAGTTGAAAACCCAATTGCAAGAGCTTTTGGATAATGGTTTCATTAGCCCAAGCCACTCCCCGTGGGGAGCACCAGTTCTTTTTGTGAAAAAGAAAGATGGGACACTTCGAATGTGTATTGACTATCGTCAACTGAACAAGGTCACAATCAAGAATAGGTATCCCTTGCCTAGGATTGATGACTTGTTTGATCAACTACAAGGGGCGACTGTGTTTTCAAAGATTGACTTGAGGTCGGGTTACCATCAACTGAAGATTAAGGAAGATGACATACCAAAAAGTGCTTTTCGCACAAGGTATGGGCACTTTGAATTCCTTGTTATGTCGTTTGGGTTAACAAACGCCCCAGCGGCATCCATGGACTTGATGAACCGAGTATTTTATAAATACTTGGACCGATTTGTGATTGTGTTCATATATGACATCTTAATTTACTCAAGGAGTGAAGAAGAACATGAGCGGGCTTGGGTTAGGGTGTAGGCCCGTTCGGGCCGATAAGCCCGGCCCGCTACATTTAGTATATATACATATATATTTTTATATATACTAATTTATGTATTTATTTACATGTACACATGTATATTTTTATATTTACTAATTTATCTGTATGCATATTTATAGTTTATTATGTTTAAATTTAAGTTTTTAGTTCTTAACAAATAGTCCAACTAATTTTATATTTTTTTGTACTTAATGATAATACTTTGTGCATGAATTTTAAATTTTAGATATAGTTTCTCATTATTATTTTTGTGTAAATATTTTTTGTGTATGTGATAAAAGGCCTATATACATTATAAGCGTATTAGCAATTTTTTAAATGTTGTAATATTATTTATAAAGTATTAAATAAATTATATAATTTTGAAAAATTTAAAGTCTTCCCGGGCCCGGCGGCCCGGTGGACTACCCGGCCCGCTCTTACGGGCGGGTATGGACATGGGGTTAGGCCCGTTTTTGCGGGCCGGGCCGGGCCCGCCCACACACGATGGGCAGAAAACTTATGAAAAGCCCGGCCCGAGCCCGGCCCGAACCCGCTTTTGTGCAGGTCTACTAGGAACTCATAGTGACCATACCTTGTACGGAATGCACTTTTGGGTATGTCACTCTCCTTGATCCTTAGTTGATGGTAGCCCGACCTCAAGTCGATCTTGGAGAACACGGTTGCCCCCCGTAATTGATCAAACAAGTCGTCAATCCTTGGCAAAGGATATTTGTTCTTTATCGTGACCTTGTTCAATTGACGGTAGTCGATACACATTCTCATTGTGCCATCCTTCTTCTTAACAAAGAGTACCGGTGCTCCCCATGGTGAATGACTCGGTCTAATGAATCCGTTATCTAGTAGCTCTTCCAATTGAACTTTCAACTCTTGAAGTTCAGCCGGTGCCATTCGATACGGAGGAATTGAGATGGGTTTGGTGCCTGGTTCAACCTCGATCTCAAACTCGATCTCTCGATCTGGTGGGAGTCCCGGGAGTTCTTCAGGGAAAACTTCTGGATACTCCCTCACCACCCTCACTTCTGTGAGGCTCTTCCCTTTGCCCTCCTTGCCTATGACATAGGCTAAGTAAGCCTGACACCCTTTCTTCATCATACGCCTCGCTCTTAAGGCCGATATGATACAAGGACTGAATTTTCCTCTATCTCCCTCAAAGCATAGAGTATTTCCCTCGCCATCTACCAATTCTAACACTTTGGTGTAGCAATCTACTTTTGCATGGTGTTTTTCAAGCCAATCCATGCCAAGTATAGCATCGAACTCAAGCATATCTAACGGCACAAAGTCGCCCGTTAAACAGTGCTCCCCTATCCCCACATCACATGAAGGATAGTAGTGTTTCCTCTCCACGTCGTCTCCCAACGGTGTAGAGACCAACAAAGGTTGCTCCATCGCTACTAACGGCATGCCCAATCCCTTGGCAAACATTTCGCTCATAAATGAACGTTGTGCTCCGGTGTCGATGAGAATTCTCGCGTGTCTACCATTGATCTTTAGTGTCCCTAAATATACAAGCCATGTGAGACACACTAAATAACGTCCCAACTGAAAAGGACCTAGCGAAAAAATTTCGGCTTAGGATCATACTATACTCGGTCGGGTAGGACCCTATACCCGGTCGGGTATAGCTCGAGTCCCTAAGGAAAAACTCCCTGTCATCCTTGCCCGATCGAGTACACACCTCGAACCCGTTCAAACTTTCTATACCCGGTCGAGTATATGCCTATACCCGATCGGGTATTACCCAAATCTTTAAACAAAAAGTTTCCTGTCGATTCCACTCGGTCGAGTATACACCTCGACCCGAACGAACTATCTACACCCGGTCGGGTATATGCCCATACCCGGTCGGGTATCACTCAAAGTGTCAAATAGGAAGCTTTCTGCCTACATTGTTCGATCGAGTACACGTCTCGAGAACGAAAATTTACTAATACTCGATCGCGTATGTAACCATACCCGGTCGAGTATGGCTGGATTTGCCAAAATCGAAGGGTCCTGCTAAACGTGCTCGAACGAGTACGCACTTCAAGACCGAGCAAATTTGCCCATACCCGGTCGGGTATATATGGGTACCCGATCGGGTATCACATGTTCCCTGAAGATTTTAACTTTAAAACAGATGCAAATAGCATGTAGAATCAAGGGGTTACCTGCAATGGAGTCCGGGTTGGCCCGAGCATCGGCCTCGGTCATTGCATATACCCGTGCTTGGGTCCTCCCTTGGTTAACGGACGCGGCGTTACTAGCCGTGGGTCCGCCCCTTCCCGTGCCACTTTGAGATGGTCCCGCATGCCCCCTACTAGACGTAGGTCCTTCCGGGACTCCCGATGGTCCCCCTTCATTCAGCATCGGGCAGGACAGTTTGAGGTGACTTGTGCTACCGCACTTGTAACACCGGGGTGGTGCATTGCATTTCCCCGCATGGTTCTTGTTACAGTTTGGGCACCTTTGTGGCCTCACGCTCCCCGAGCTGTGCCCTTGCCCTCCTGGACCCTTGCTCTTCTTTGCCGGTGGAGCCGGCGCCCTAAATGAATTTCCACTCCCGGCTTGATGCTTCCGGGAATGGTCTTGGGGTCCAGAATTCCCCCATCTCCTCTTCTTTGCCTCTTCGGCGTCTCTCTTCTTTCTCTCGTTCCACTTGGCTTCCCCAAGGAGCCCCTGGTCAACAATCTCACTAAACGTCATGTGATGATTGTATGTAGCCCTATCACGGATATCCAACTGTAGGGTATCCCAGAAGTGATTAGCCATGCGGTTCTCATCCATGGCGTACTCAGGTATGTATCGTGCCAAGTCCCGGAACCTCTGCTCCAATTGCCTCACCGAGCAACTCTCCTCTTGTACCAAGGTCATGTACTCCTTCCTCTTTTGGTTCTTCTCGAACTCTGAGTAGTACTGATTATAGAATTCCACTTCAAATTTCTCCCAGGTGGTCTCACCGTGGAACTTTCCTTCCACGCCTTCCCACCATACCGCGGCTACTCCCTCCAGTAACCTGGTAGCAACTGTCAGCTTTATATCAAGCCCGATCTGCATATCCCTAGCAGCCTCATTTAGTTTCTTGATCCAGTCGGCAGCCACAGATATGTCGCCCTTGCCATCGAATGACTTACACCCCAAGGCCCTCGCCTCCTTGAGGTATTTGGAGATTCTTACACAGAAACCTCCTCCTTGTACCCCCTGTGTCGCCACAGGAATGGCCACTGAAGCTCCCTGGCTTCCCTGACCCGAACTTCTCTGAGAAGCACGCCTAGCTTGGCGCCTAAGATCTCTTCTTAGTTTCTCTTTTTGATACCACTCAAACAATTCACCCATCTGGGCAAACTTGGCATCACTCTCATCGTTGTCATCATCGGTGTACGTATCACCCCCATCATATGGGGTCTCCTCATGTTCCGTCTCGGGAACATATGTAGAGTCATAATCCTCGGTGTGAGTTCCGTGCACCGAGCTAACATGGCCATCGCTCACGGTTTGAGCCCGACGGCCTCCCCGGCCTCCACGGCCTCCACGGCCTCCACGGCCTCTCCTACCGCCTCTCGCGCCCCGAGATGCAACCTGGCTAGCCCCTTCGGACGTCACCGGAGTTTGCCCTCTCGGGTTGTTCCTCGTAGCCATGCCTCTACCCTCCATTTCTGAAAGAAATTTGGAATGAGCCGTTAGACTCGTATCAACGTCAATTGACGGAATAGTACAAAAGACACCACTTGGTCCAACGTTATGGCCAACAAACTGTTAAGGGTACCATCTTAACAATAAGAGGTCAATAACTTGGTTTCCAACGGTTCCTTAAGTACAAAAACTTTTGCTCATGGTTTTGTTCAAAACTTTTTGATGATACTATATTGAGAGGTTAATTATATAGTTTAGAAATCGATGGCTCTGATACCATTTAATTGTCACGCCCCGGACCGCGTCCGTGCCACGTAGACAACCGCCATACAATCCAATAAGAACAACGTAGTTCATTCTTATTAAATCATACAAGGCGTCCGATAGATTCTATTGCCAAACCGATTAGTAAACACATACAATCAACATCAATATCATAATCAAACAATTGCGGAAATAGTATGTTTGATACTTAGCCACACGTGGCAAATACGGGCACGCAGACCCTTTAATAGTTTGACTGAAAACCTTGTTCAAATATCCATGAGCAATTACATTGTTTTAAATGAGAATGGAAGCACGAACTACGTCTTCCTTATTGATGATCACCCTGGGCAAAGGTGCAGGATTAGGTCTCAAGCCTTAACCTGAAAAATGTGAGGGCCCCCGAAGGGGTCAGTACTCCATAGAAAGTACTAGTGACAAGCAGGCTATATGAGGAATAACTAATGGTTCAGACACGAGACCCAAAAATAGGGTGGTACATATACTTATAAGTGTAACCATTGTTACCCCATCCCCAAGATAATACATACCGTATATACTTGTAAAATACTTGACCCGTAGGTCATTTTCTCACAAAAGAGTCTTTTAGAGACAAGGTACTTACCCAACCTTTCCCCTTTCATTCCTGAATGCCTAGCTTAAGAGCTACATTCTACCTTCATAATATCCTACCGAGTTTCAGGAGTGTTAACCCTCCCGGGGATACTCAACCCCAACCGAGTTTTGGGATCATTTACCGTCCCGAGGATACTCAACCTCAACCTTATTTCTAACCAAACCCTAACCTGGATATGGCTAACCTTTCGTTCACTCAACTATGGACAATACCTGGTCCTATAGTCATATAACAATCCTTAGTAACCAACGTGGACGGGTCCCGCCTGATCGGTCCACGTTAACCCACTCAAAAACTACCCGTTTTGAGTATAACTCAATACTCGATCGAGTACCCACCAATACTCGGTCGAGTACAGGAGACAGGAGCCCGTAAGGCTAATTTCCAAGGCATACTCGATCGAGTATCTATCCATACTCGATCGAGTATAGGAGACAGCGGCCCTTGGGGCCAATTTTTCAGCAGACACCCGGTCGGGTATTGTAGTTGACTTGGCGGTCAACGCCCGTTTGACCGCCCAAACGGAGTCCGATTAACGTGAAATTTTACATGCATATTCTACTTGAAGTCCTTGATCCAAAAATACCATTTTTGACCCCTGGATCATTGTACATAATAAGTTATCACATTTTTAATCACCAAACATACAAAACATGCCTTTCAACTTTGTTTTCTATATAATCATGGCATAAGCCCATACTTGATTAACTTTAATCATTCCGTAAAACATATCCTTGATTACTTTAGGTAATCTCATGCCTCAATCAAAAGTTATAAAGCATATAGCCGTCTTCTCACCTTAAAAGAAGTTTATGAAGTTCTAGCCTTTCTTATTGAGCCCCGGTGAAACTCCGGTGAACTTCAACGAACTCCGGCGACAATTCCGGCGACCCTTCCAACTCCGTGAAAGTCCTTGAAGTACCTTATACAAGTTAACAACAAGGTTTTATCACCATAAAACCCATATCAACACAAATAACCTCCGAAAGGTTATTTTCCGACGAACTCGTCAACTTTGCTCTCAAAGTCCGTCTTGGGTATAAACCAACCCTCCCACTCCTATTCTACACTTTTACATGTGTAGAAGTATCCTAGGAGTATGAAATATGATTAAAGAGAAGAAATGGGATTAATGAAGTCATTACCTTATTAACCCCAAGTTTTCCCACCTAAACTCCTCTTTTCTCTTCCCTTTCTTCCTTCCTTCTTCCTCCCTTGCTCTTGGTGCGTGAATGGTGGATGCTATGGAGTATTTTCAGAGCTTCTCTTCCCAAAGATGATGGTATGGCCGAGCTTGAATGAGTTGGGATGATTGAGAATGCCTTTTTGGCATTTCTCCCAATCATAACATGGGAGGGGTCCCATTTATTTTATTATTTTGATCCCAATCCATTCATGCCCCCTCTCCCATTTCCTTGTGCGGATCCCCCTTGTCATTTGTAGACTAAAAACGTGGGGATGGCCCCCACTTAGATGGGTGGTCATCCCTTTGTGTCCCCGAGTGTACATTCGGTCCCGAAAGTTGTATTTTCCGGACTGTTTTAATTGTATTTCATTTTATCGGGTAAAATGAAATGTCTATCATTCTTCCAATTATTATCGGCTACAAGAATGAATGTATATCCCCCAGCTTTTAATTTGATGGTATCTATAATTTATTATGGCTTTTATCTGTCAGTACGACGGTACCGATAAATGGGCTTTATTTGCCCAAAAGGTTACTCACATAACTTCTATGGCCCAACAAGGATGTCCACCATTATACACATATTATCTTGACCCAAATGAATATAATATGTGGTCCCGATAAAATCGGGCGGCCCCCACTTCCAGTGTGGGCCCCACGTGAATTTTACTATTCACGCAAAAGAAATGATAAAAATTCACGATCACGTAAAATGCGTTTATTCATTTCTTGGGTTCAATACATAATTTGATAAAGTACAAATACTTGGGGGCGGTGTTACATTTTGCTTGTAAATTTTTTGCTCACCAACTTTGCATCATATAATATGTCATACTAAATACGTCTAGCAAGCAAAAATTCAAAATTACAAAGATCATTTGTAACTAAGAATCTAAGTTCACTTTGTATTTTAGAATCATTGTCAGTCTCGGTAAATTCTAGCAAGGCTTCTCGAATGTCACTTATTTGAAACCTTATTACTTTGACACTTTCCATACCACCAGGGGCGAAACCAAGACACTGGACCGGACTGAGCCGATACAAAGAATATTACTGAAAAACAAATTACCCAAAACTTTTTACCCTAAAAATATAAATTTGGGGTGAGACAAGGCCAGGGTTGCCCCCCACCCCCCATCTACACCCATGCACACCACTTTCCCACCGAGTGCTTGATAAAGATTTTAGAGTTAATCCTTCGACATTGTTTTTGAAAATTTGCCATATTTTTGTAGAATTAGCATAGAGTAGATTTGTTGCATTACTCAAAACCGAAGTCTCAATTATACCCAAGTCCTCATGCTACCCATATACTCCACACTTGTTTTTATGTTCTATTAGTCTAGCACTGAGATGTTCCCAATCATCCAAAACCGTATTGGCTAAAAAACCTTTTCCCACTCCTGTTATAAAATTCTTACAAAAGAAGCAATAAACCCTATCGAGCTCCTTTGAATAAATGTGTCAGTCTCTAACTCTATCATATTTCTCCATTAGGCAAACTTGTGGTGTAAAATGCCATAGCGAATCTTCCAAAGAATTCATTTTTAAGCCATTTGAAAAAAGTTAAATCTCTTTTAATTAGGACCATTCTCTACCAAAATTTCTATCAACTTTGAATCAAGAGCATCTCAATTTCTTGAAATCATATATGTCAAACAAAGCATGCATAATCATTTGGCCAATCATCTAAAACATCCATTATGTTGTCCTCTTTATCAGAATTATTTTCAGAACTTTTACTTTTGGAACCACTTCATAAATAATTGTGTCAAAGTTAAAGTAAGACACATAAAATGGGATAAATGTAGTATATTCATTTCAAGTGTCACGCATAACACAACATAAATGATGGGAAGGACAATCATTGACAAGTAATTCATAGTTGAAAACAAAAGAAAGGATTAAAGTAACCAAATAGTCATAGCAAAAAATGAACAATGAAACCCAACTGATGGCAGAACCCAAAATCTCCAATTTGTCTCCCTTGCTATACCCTGTTACACATATGTCCAGACGTCCAATTCTTCCCACAATAATAGCAGAAGTGGCCTCCACACCTACAAAGACACAATCAGAGCTAATGCATTTAAAATATCACTTCACAAATTATATATTCACTCATATAAGAAGTTGCATGCAATAAAACCTGCAAGAGATGTGTTCACATCCTCCATCTCTCTGCACAAACATATTGCAATAGGGACATTTTCGCCATTTTCTATCCTTGGCCAAGTTAAAGAACTTGTTATCCAGGTCTTGATCAACATAACGCCTTTTCTTCATCCTTTGGTATTCCTCACAGCTAGCTACGCTTGCATGCCAAGGAACCCTACATTGTGCACAAAACAGCCTATGACAAGAAGGGCACTCACAGCGGGTCACAACTTCTCTCCCGTCGTCGACCAACAGAACCGAACAGTCCTCAAAGGGGCAGTAAGTCTTCTGAGACGCGGAAATCGTCGACTCACATATAGCTGTGTCCCACTTCTCAATCACTTTCCTGGGCAAGATGGGGTGCAAAGATTTGGGGTTCTGTTCCAAGGGACAATTAGGGTGTGGACAGGTGACCTTCACAATGTTTTGGTCTATTTGGGAGGTCACGTACTTTGCCATGCATGCAGAACAGAAGGAGTGGTTACACTTGCCATTTTTAAACATATGAGAGCTTGGTTTGTAGTCAAAGCATATACCGCAGACGAAGATTGAGTGTGGACAGCCACCACTATATTGTGGCGATTGTTTCTTCATCGGATTTTGAGTTGCTATTGAGCGTGGAGCATTTGCATCTAATTGAGTTTCCAAAAGAGTTAAAATACGGAGTATAACTTTTGTATTAACATATTTTGTCTCAGAGTTAAAGCACATACATTGTACGAAGTATTAAACACTTGAGTCTTAAAATGTAAATACAACATACTAAAAAAGTCAATTTTGTCTTGCTTAGGGCATGCAAGTTACCCTCTTGCCAGAATGTCAAGGCCGGTGAACATGCTAAGGGTGATTTGCACTTATTTTCCCAAACTACTTTTAAAAAAGCACTCCTCAGCTCTTGGCTTTTAAAAAACACTTATTTTCCCAAACACTACAACTTTTATTTTTCTCGGCTTCCGCGTCAAAAGTGCTTTTACCTTTTCTATTACACAAAAAACGCTTATTTTACCAAACACTACCCACTTTTACTTTTCAAAATCACTTTTTTCTCAAACACTATCCACTTTTATTTAATCATTTCTCCCCATTTCATTAAAAAAACACTTTTTTAAAAGCAGAACCTGTTGCAAACAGACCCTAAATCGATTCTATACTTCTATGTAATGGGGCCCACCAAATATGGGGGTCTCAAAGTTGTTACAGTTTAGTAGTAATGCTAGTATAATTAGGACCAATATGATTTTAAGGATAATGTGACAACTCTGGTACCCATTTAAAAAATGGGGTACAATACCTACCATGCATTTACTTGATTGGTCCAAATCATTATATCATTTTTAATTTTGATTTAAATAATTCAATTGCAACATTTTGATTGGTCCATGTAGACAAATATATGGTACCTTATGGGTGTCATAGAATCTACCAAAGGATAATTTAGAGTATTCATAAAATTGTAAGTGTCATTGTTAAGGTGTCTAAATTCACTATTATTCAATCTTGCTCATTTCATCAAAATAACTTGTTAGTTTCGCTAGCTCACCAAATTATGTTTTCATTTCTCAATTTAAAAAGTATGTTGTTGTCTAATTTTACCTTTTCGAGAAATCCCAATAAGAGTGTCTTATACGAAATTTGGTAAAATTTATGTGCCTCTAAATTGTTCTTACTTTATTCTTACTTTATCAATTCAATATATATCAACCACATAAATTCATGTTTCTCAATAACCGTGTCACCCTTCATGCCTACACGTTAGTGGGGCGGAGGTAATAATATTTTCAACTCATTGTCATTGTTAATTTTTTTGTATAATGTAGTTTTACATTTATTTAATATGGGCCTCATTTTTTTTTATAACAAAGTCACTCAAGATCATCACACGGTCTTGCCTCTTGCCCTCCATAGGGTCGTTACTAGCTTCCCTTATTACTATAAAACAACAGAATAGACATGAATTTGGCAAATATTTTTTGCACGAATTTTCCAAAATTTATAAGAGATTTGACATGCATGAATTTGACACAGTGACACGGATAGGGCAGAGCATAATCCGGTCCGGACTGGAAAATCGGACCGATTGGTCCAGACCAGACCCGGACCCGGACCGATCTTCAGTCCAAGCATTTTACCAATTCTGGTTCCGACCAGATCCAAAACCCAGAATATTCCAATCCAGACCGGTTAGACCGAAATTTAATTATTATATTTATATATATATATTTATTTATTAATATATGTATTAAATAAATTTGTATGCACAAAAACACATACTCCGTCCATAGTACATTAATTAATTTAACTAAAAAAATATTTTAATTAAGTGATGCAATACCTTAGACATTCACTCAAGTTACATATTCCATATTCCATACGTAGTATTATTTACAAATTTACACAAGTAAAATGTTACGTTGTAGTATAAAAACATTAGGAAAAGGAATGTAAAGGTGCATTGTATTTACTTATGTTTACTTGTTTTAACCATAATACATAGTGTGATTAATTGAATTGATCTTTGTAAAATACATAAAGCTATTGAGTCAAATCAGTAATTCAATAAATTAATCGAGCAAGAACATTAGTTTCCAGTATTAATATGGTCTCATTCATAAAATTTTATATAGTCAAAATTGAATCACATAGTTTTCATATTTCCACTGAGCATAGTTCATGTGTTTATTTATACTTATTTCATTATTATATTGTATATTATACTACTTCCGTCCCGGTAGACATTGCCAAGTGCAAGTTAGGTGAGAAATAAAAATAGTAAAAATTGTGTGGTTGAAATTTGTGCAGAAGAGAGAGAATTGTGCAAAACAACAAATTAGTTCCTCTAATAGGAAAGTGGCAAAGTTTTTTGGGACAAGTAAAAAAGAGAAGTTGGCAAAGTCCAATGGGACGGAGGGAGTATTGATTAAAAGAGACATAAAAAACAAAAATCATACATAAAAAAGAATAAATTATATATAATCACATATAAAAGATGAAACATTGTAAAAATAAGTTCTCCGATCCTGACCGGAAAACCCGGAATAATCCAATCCTGGACCGGAATTATATAGGTCTGGTCTTCGGTACACCTTTTTTTACAATTCCGGTTTCGGTCCAACCTGTGCTCTGTCCTAGACATGGATACGTCAGATCTATACCAAATGCCGTGCCAATGCCATTTTGTCATCCGTTATTTGGCACAACGTTATGCCAAAAATATATTACATGTCAAAGTAGATCAATTTGTGTCAAATTGGTGTTAATACATGATTTTGACACTAACACCATAACTAGTAGTGCGTCAAGATTCCTCTTCAACGTAGAAAGGAAAATTGAGGCAAAAAAAAATGTTGGATTCAGATAGTTTACCGATAGAAGTGACTCGTTGAGCTCTCCTCTTGTCATAAGAGGGTTGAGCCACGTTGTACTTGCGCTTCAGGGACATGGATCTAGTTGTAGGTCTGACCAACTCCATATATAAAGTTCATAAGTTAATAAGGTTGTTGTTCATATATAGTGTTGCTATGTTTCCCACGGTACGTGATCATTAATTGTTTCTGGTTGAGTGTGTTCATCAATGGAAACGGTTCAAATAACTTGTATCTCTTTGGTAATTGCGATTAGTGAATAGGTCACACCGGCTGGTTGAGTGTGTTCATCAATGGAAACGGTTCAAATAACTTGTATCTCTTTGGTAATTGTGATTAGTGAATAGGTCACACCGGATACTATTTACTCCGTAATTACTTGCCAGAATGCCAGTTAAGTACTTAAGTCGCACCGTAAAAAAGGTGAGGACCATGATTTTAAAAAAGGTAATGACATTTTTCTTTTTGGTGTATTTTAATTTTTGCTACATTTTCCTTTTTGGTGAGTTTTCTCTTTGAAATACTCAAATGTCATTAATTTTTCTACATTTTCATCTTATCTTTAATACATTTCCACCATCTCTCGTATTTTTTTTAAAATATTTGTTACCCTTACTACTTAACTTCAAATTATATTGTAGCAAACATTTCAATATGCATTGAGTATTACAAATATTAATTCGGTATGTGTTGTGATATTTTAGTTATTATTGTTGTAGTTTCTGATGTTTTTAAGTGGACTGAAATTATATGATATTACTTGGTCTGAATCCGTCTGATCCGGTTTGGTTGATGTCTATTTTTGTGTATTTTGCAATTGACTGCTCTAACACGTTTATTTAAGTATAGTCTAGTATGGTCTAATATGGTTTATTTAAGTCTAGTCTATTCTGATCTGGCTTGAGACTCTGAGGCTAAACACTACATCTTTTACTTTTTAAATAAATTTTCTTTTAAACACTACTAATTTTAACTATTAATCAGTTCTCACCCAATATTTTAAATAAATCATTTATAAAAAAAAGGAAAGCAAAAACATAATTTTCGTAGTGTATATTTAGGATGTTTTTACTTAGACTGTAATTGGTTGGTCTAGTCTGGTCTGGTACATGTCTGGTCTATGTGTATTTTATAATTACGGAAGTCCGGTCTAGTCTAGTTTGTTTAAGTCTTGTCTAGTCCGGTATGTTTAAGTTTGATCTAGTCTGGTCTGAGACAGAAAATTGTCCAACTAAAAACATCCTTACACAATATGTACTTTATAGTTTATACCATCATTATTATTTATAGTTATAAAATAAAGACTCATGTTTATAGCTTTGGATTATGATGGAAGATTGCAAAATGATTGATAAAACTGTATGCGCTTCTTTGTTATGTGCAATAATCAGTTCATGCAATTTTCAATGCGATTTTTATCATGAGTCATCCGAAAACTGCCTCTTTGTACTTTACTACAGATGTAAGGTAGCGTACATTCGACTCCTCTTGCCCTACAATAGGTGAAAGCCTTGCGGCACTTGAGCAATGTTGTTGTCATTGTTATAAAATAAAGGAAAACATGGGTTAATTCAAAAGTTTGGCTCTAGCTTTAATTTTTATATTCCACATGTCTTTTGAGCAAAATACTAAAAGAAATATTTCAAGGTTTTTTTATAGTTAAATATTTCAAGGTTAGAAATAAGTAAATATGGAAAACAAAAAATGAAGGACAACGTGTACCAAATTACAACTTTTATATTTTATATTATTATATAAAATTAATACAAATAAAACAAATGATCGAGAGATTTTTTTATATAAAAAAGTCATACCTTTATTACAACTATTTTTAACAAATGAGAAAATTTTTCATTACTAAATTGGATGTATTACCTTGTATAACTAAATTACACTTTTACATTTACCCTTTTTTGGGCGGGAATTTTTCCTCTAATAGTTGTAGCAACTCTGCTACTTTATACTCCGTATTATATAAATATACTCATATAATGGGAAAGACGTGTTGTTTTAGTCAAATGAGTGTTAATTTTCTCTTAAAAAATCAATATATTCTTGTCAGGTTTTTGCGCTGAATAGAAGTAAAAACGTTTTGAAATTTCAAAATATGATTTTCAAGTTTTTATTCCCTAAATAGAAGTAATTTCAGCCAAATTTGAAAAAAACTATCATGTTAGGCTCGTTATGTCAAACTTGGTAAAAATACTCCTATTTAGAAAATAACAACATCGCAATCCTATATTATTTTATAATATAGTACCTCCGTCCCCTTTTAAATGTCCCGGAGGAGGCCGGGTGACACGGGTTTTAAAAAAAATGAATTTGTGTGGTTGATATTAATTGATAAAGTAAAAATAAAGTAAGAATGATGTTGAGCCACACAAACTTTACCAAATAAGGTATGAGACATTTAAATAGGGACATCCCAATATGGTAAAACGGGACATTTAAAAGAGGACGGATGAAGTATTCATTTCAAGTGTCAAACATAACACAACATAAATGATGGGAAGGACCGTCATTGACAAGTAATTCATAGTTGAAAACAAAAGAAAGGATTAAAGTAACCAAATAGTCATGGACAAAAATGAACAATGAAACACAACTGATGGCAGAACCCAAAATCTCCATTTTGTCTCCCCTGCTACACCCTGTTACACATATGTCCAGATGCCCAATTCTTCCCACAATAATAGCAGAAGTGACCTCCACACCTACAAACACACAATCAGAGCTAATGTATTTAAACCACTTTACAAATTATATATTCACTTATATAAGAAGTCTCATGCAATAGAACCTGCAAGAGATGTGTTCACATCCTCCATCTCTCTGCACAAACATATTGCAATAGGGACATTTTCGCCATTTGCTATCCTTGGCCAAGTTAAAGAACTTGTTATCCAGGTCTTGATCAACATAATGCCTTTTCTTCATCCTTTGGTATTCCTCACAGCTAGCTACGCTTGCATGCCAAGGAACCCTACATTGTGCACAAAACAGCCTATGACAAGAAGGGCACTCACAGCGGGTCACAACTTCTCTCCCGTCGTCGACCAACAGAACCGAACAGTCCTTAAAGGGGCAGTAAGTCTCAGGGGCGGCCCTGGGGGGGGGGGCAGGTGGGGCGGGTGCCCTAGGCCCAAAAAAAATGAAAATTTTTTAGGCCCAAAATTATTTCTTTATAGTATATTTGAGTAGGCTGAGTTTTAACCCAAAATTAATAAATTTGTACAAGTTCAGGAAGCCCAAGAACGCAAAAGGCCCAAAATTGAAAAAAAGGAAGAACTAACGTGCAGTTCAATTAGTTAAATTTATAAATTTAACTAATTGATTAGCTATATTAAGTATTGAGCATAATAATGTCTTAGAAAAGCTTGATTATGACGCTATAGTTGATGACACCGGCCTTAGCAAGTGTATTGTATCGGGGCATTATTTATCATTAAATAATTTTTTATTCGGTTATTTTGAATACATTATTCGACTATGTTTAATTTAACGAATTCAAGTATTTTCTTTATTCTAAAGGTATTTAAATATTATTATTTTGCATTTTTATTTAGGTAGAAAAGTGTTTTACAATTTTTTTTTAAAATTAGGCCCATTTTTTTATTGTTCGCCCCTAGGCCTTCGAATATACAGGGCCGCCCCTGGTAAGTCTTCTGAGACGCCGAAATCGTCGACTCGCATATAGCCATGTCCCACTTCTCAATCACTTTCCGGGGCAAGATGGGGTGCAAAGATTTGGGGTTCTGTTCCACGGGACAATTAGGGTGTGGACAGGTGACCTTCACAATGTTTTGGTTTATTTGGGAGGTCACGTACTTCGCCATGCATGCAGAACAAAAGGAGTGGTTACACTTGCCATTTTTAAACATATGAGAGCTTGGTTTGTAGTCAAAGCATATACCGCAGAGGAAGATTGAGTGTTGACTGCCTCCACTGTAAACATGAGAGCTAGAAGAACTATGAAGGGCCGATTGTTTCATCATGTGATTTTGAGCTGCTGTTGAGCGTGGAGCCTTTGCATCTAATTGAGTTTCCAAAAGAGTTAAAATACGAACTTTTGTATTAACATATTTTGTCTCAAAAGCACATATACTCCATTGTATTGAACACTTGAGTTTAAAAATCTAAATCGAACATACTAAATAAATTCAATTTTCTTATGCTTAGCCGCTTAGGGCATGTTTCCATGCGAGTGCCCCTCAAATTGGGTAAAGTTTAGTTGGGGCCGGCCCTTACATATAATTAAAAGGCTCTGTTCAAAATTGAATATGAGGCTCTGAAGTATAAAACAAAATATTAATATTCCCACTATTTTTAAAAGTCTTCTTATGTTTTTTGTGGTTTTTAAGAAGAAAATATTAGGGGTGGTATAAAGGTGTAAGGTAAATGAAGAAGTAGGAAAAAGAATATATCAAGAAGAATAAAGTAATGATAAAATAGGAAAGAGAAAGTAGTATGCAAGCTCGTCCCAAACTATACGAGGTCTTTATGCTAATTACTGTAACAAGGACTTATGTAATAAGGAAATTTGACAATTGTAATTAACAATTTCATTTTAATTACATATAAATATTCCTATTTAATATTTGTATTTAAAGAAATACTAAGATAGGAATCTATAATCAAATAAATAAGGATTTTGTATGTTATGTAGACTATATTTAAAATTTTGGGCCTTCTAAATTGAGAAGTCTTTTGTGATAGCACTTCTTGCACGTCCTTATCTACGACCTTGAGTTTAGTAGTAAGGCTCATAAAATTTTGGGCCTTCTGAATTGAGAAGTCTTTTGTGATAGCACTTCTTGCACGTCCTTAAACTACGCAGTATATACTACGTATAATGTAGAATATTTGGAAAATTGTAAGTATCATTGTTAAGGTGTCTAAATTCGATCACTATAATTCAATTTCGCTCATTTCATCAAAATAACTGGTTAGTTTCCCTCACCAAATTATTTTTTTCATTTCTAAAGTTAAAAAGTCATTGGTATCCCCATAAATTTAAACCCAAATGTATGTTGATCAAATTTTCATCTATTGACATTAATAAAGCAATATTTCGAACTCATTGTTATTGTTAAATAAATTTAATTTTCTGTGTAATGTAGTTTTACATTTATTTATAATATGAGCCTCAAATAAATACTTTTAACAGTCACTCAAAATTATCAGACCGTGTTGCCTCTTGCCCTCCCCTAGGGTCGTTATTAGCTCCCCTTATCAAGTTATCTTTTTAATAGCAACACCATAACTAGTGCGTCAAGTTTCCTCTTCACATAGAAAGGGAGAATGAAGCGTAAAATGTAGGAGTGTTTGCTAAAACTTAAAAAATGATTTTTAGCTTTTAGCTTAAAAACTAAAATGAGTGTTTTCAAATGACAGCTTCTGCTAAAATGAATGTTTTAAACTGTTTCTCACTTTTTCTATTACACAAAAAACACTTATGTTACTAAACAATAAACACTACAAACTTTTATTTTTTCAGAAACACTTTTTTCTCGAAAATCACTTTAAAAAATTGTTTCTTTTAAGCAGAAACAAACACATGCACTCGCTTAGATAGTTACCCATAGAAGTGATTCGTTGAACTCTCCTGTTGACATTAGAGGGTTGGCCCACGTCGTGCTTGCGCTTCAGGGACATAGATCTAGTGGTAGGTCTCACCAACTGCATATATAGGTAGAGTTCATACGTTAGAGGTGGGAAAATCCATACACCCCTCCCTGTATACAGTTGTTCAGTGTAGAGGTGGGAAAAAAAAATCGGAATTTCGGTATACCGGACTTACCATATCGGAAAATACCGAATTTACCGAAATGTTTGGCATACCGACACTTTTGGTACGGTATGATACCGTACCGAATTACTTCGGTATGGTATCGGTATATATTTTGGAAATAAGCGGTATACTGGTATACCGTCATATCGTAATTCCAAGTCAATAATTTCCTTAAAATTATAAAAATAACTAGAAACACAACACTAATTCAAGGATAAATGACTTTATATCCATGTTTCTTGAATTATTTGTACATTTTGTTGGAGATAGGTGTTATTTTAATTATATTTATGTTGTTTCAATTATTTTAGCAAAATGTGTTGTTATCTTCATATATCGTGTGTTGAAATATCTATACATATTTATAATATTTTTTGTTCAAAGTTGAATAGAACAAAAATAGGTTATCTCATTGGTATTTTATAATTAATTTCATTAATGATTTTAGCATATCACTGTTAACGCTGATTTTCTTTATTTCATTTGACATATAATAATTTGTTATATTAAATCATGATAATTTACCGATATCGTACATTACCGTACCGAAATTTCGGTATACCGAAACAAGATATACCGAAATTTCGGTATGGTAACGAAATGCGACAAAATATTCGGTATACCGTACCGAACCAGGTTCAGTGGGATCCCAAACACGCCAGTAACCAGTTCTTCGTTTTAAAATATTTTCCCTGGCGATCTAATTAACCTTCCGGAACATACAATAATTCAATAAATTATTAACTCTTCCAAAATTAAAAATAACTGAATTTAATTTCGTAATTTAGCTCAAATAATGTTAAAACATTGACGAAATAAAAAATATTTGGATACCGAAAACTGATCGCTAAGAAAGTGAAACAACGTACGAGCATGTACAACTTACCGGCGGACTTGCTGTGACGACGGCTTCCGGCGGTGTGCGGTGGAGTTGAGATCGTGTCCGCGGTGGAGACTGTCTACTCATCTGAGTTCTCTCTTAATAACTATGGATCTGAGATCGTGGCCACGTTGATTGCGTACTTCCGTTTGCAAAAGCACCAAGTTAAAATGTGAAGCTCTAGCTAACTAATACGATAGTAATTCAGCCGATTATAACTGATCGATGCTAGGGTTTCTAGTCTTAAAAAAATGTGCCAATTGTCACATAAATATAACACTTTCTAGTCCACGTAATATGAAGTGGAGTGGTTGCATATTGGAAAACAAAAACTGTTTCCAATGTATACACGCCTGGGCTGTCTTGGCTCAAGTTTGTGGAATTTATATACTAGCGTATTACATTAATAGTAAAGTATATATTTTATTTTAGTAACCGTCACTCCTGTTTTTACGTATTAGAGTATAAATTTCTCACGTATTTTTTCAGTTTTCAATTTCTCCCTAATTCTTTGGTGAGGCCGCACCTACTTTTTGTCTAGTTAGCAAGTGTGGACGGCATTCTACACTCAGACTTTTGGCCTTCACGGTGTTTAAGTTTTTTTTGCCATGTCATCAAAAGACTACAAGCATCTATTCTATTCTATTCTATTTATATATAAGAAAAGAATAGGCTGTGCAAAGTACATCTTTGCCCTCAAATCCAACGTGTCCTCCAGCCCTTCATTCACTCTTTTTCTCTCGACGATCCACGTGGCTTCGTGAATAGAAACCACCGATTAAAAATTCATTCCCCTGCTACTCCTGCGCATACATATCTCTCGGCCAAACCAACAAAAAACCAGCTTCTTCTCCGATAATTCCTTGACAGTTTTTTATCAAGGAGCCGATTCAAAATTAAAAAACTCCCTTCCCTCCTGCGTACACATCTTCTCAGCCAAAAAAACAAGCGCAGGCAATCTTAGCCGAAAATTCCTACATAGATTGGGATATTCCGCTTGAGAGCTTGCCATGTATAACACGCCTCTCCAGCTTCCCATCTATTTATATATAAGAAAAGAATAGGCTGTGCAAAGTACATCTTTGCCCTCAAATCCAACGTGTCCTCCAGCCCTTCATTCACTCTTTTTCTCTCGACGATCCACGTGGCTTCGTGAATAGAAACCACCGATTAAAAATTCATTCCCCTGCTACTCCTGCGCATACATATCTCTCGGCCAAACCAACAAAAAACCAGCTTCTTCTCCGATAATTCCTTGACAGTTTTTTATCAAGGAGCCGATTCAAAATTAAAAAACTCCCTTCCCTCCTGCGTACACATCTTCTCAGCCAAAAAAACAAGCGCAGGCAATCTTAGCCGAAAATTCCTACATAGATTGGGATATTCCGCTTGAGAGCTTGCCATGTATAACACGCCTCTCCAGCTTCCCATCCATGAAATTATCGCAAGTTTGAGAGACGTCAAAGCATAAGGTACTGCTCTACAAGTTATTATAGCTATATATACTCGGTATATCATTAGAATAGAATATAAGTAAGGTTTTATGCTATTGCCCTCTCTAATAATGCAGGTACGCCGTCTATTCTCATTTCATCACAAAAGAGTAATTTTTTCCTTAAGAGTAGTGGCATAGGTAACACACATGTTTTTACATTCCTTCAAATGTGTCTTTTTTCTCTGTTTTATACAGCCTGTTTTGTTTCATTGTCATTTTTTGTGTGTTCATCCATCTTAACAAGCCCACCTTTGTCCATCTATATTGAACTATACAAGCAACATTCACTCAAATGCCTCTTTTTTTTATCTGTTTTGTTCATCCTGTTTTCTATATGAAGTACTAATTTGTTGCTTTTTTGCTTTTGTTCATAAATGACTGTTGTGTCATATCTTAGGTCTATGTGTATTCTTTTTTTTTTTATTCTTTTTTCTTATGCTGATTATATTATCCCACAGAACAAGCTTGATCATATATAACTTTCTTCCTTTTCACATAATCTTCTTCATGTAGAAATGTTTGATATGTTCGCAATGACAGTTCATATTTTTCGGTGCCTTTCTATAACCATAGTCTTATAATTAGTCTACTTGATATTGAATTGAAAAATATCCCAGCAGTTAAGCCTCCCACATTAGTCTACCTAATATGGGATTTGTCTCCCTGGATCCAGTTTTCAATCTATTGAATGAAAGTAAGCTTCTATTATGGGGTTGCTGAATTTGAATGTCATAAATTAACTTCTAAAGGTAGTAAATGCAACTGACAATTATTTTTTTTTAAAAAAAATGAGACTATTTAACGGGCATAAACTAATTTTTTGCATCAAGAAGTGACAAATGTAGCTGTTATTATAGAAGAAATTATAAATAATGTCTACTTTTAATTAATTAGTAGCTAACCATGGTTTCAACCGGACAAGAATAGACATTTTTTCCATTAACAAAAACATAGAGTGCTTGGTCAAAAGGAATTCAGTTTCATTCATGCAAGCCGTGGCGAATCAAACCCTGTCAAAAGAAAGCAGTAGCTTGAAATTCTTTTGAAAAAATAATCAGACTATTTGGCTCGGATAAATGAGTTCATTGTGTGAAGAAGTGACAATTGTAGTTGTTATAGTGGACGGAAAATCTAAATTATAGTAGCTCATATTTTTTTCCTCATTTTTTACATGAGTTTTAGGTCTACCAAAGCATATGAAATGTTCAATGAAATGTTCATATTAGGAAAATAGCAGAGAAAGAACAATGCTTGCGGTTTTTAGTGACTTCAGACAAAATATTTTCTGTCTTCTATTTTCAATCCACTCAAAAAAATTCTACTTTAGTGAATTTAGTCAATTATAGGCATCTGCCAATACCCGCGGTTTGAATTTTTCTATGTCCCCATGTGGACTATATTTGATTCATATTAATTAAAACTCAAGTATGAATTTTCAAACTGAATCTTTCTGAACATTCTAGCTACCTCACAAGGTAATTCTAAGCTCCTAATTAACTCTTTATTATTTGCAGATTTGGACTCTTTTGGTCACTCTAATCTCAAGTAAGTTTATAGTCATTGAATTAATAATATCAATTTGGTATACTGAACCTTTTCACCACTTTCACACAAGTTCTAGCATAGGTCAAGTGCACAGTTACAGGAAGTTGGTGTGAAATACGTGTAACGTGAATTTAGAAATTACTTGAAACCCTTATTTAGCTAAAAGGTTAAAGAAGCAAAAAGAGTTAAATGTGTGTCATAGAGATAACCACATTGTATGTTTTGTTTTTATTTTTCCTGTGTCACTTTTTCTAATTGTTATGTTTTTACTTCATTAAAGCAAGTTGATCATTCTCAAATAAGAACCTTTATATAAGAACATGTTACTAAATGCCCTTATCCTCTAAATTAAGTTTAATAGCTACTTAATTGCTGCAACATAAAAGGTGGATAAGTTCTCAGCCTGTCCTCAATATTTTTCTGTTGCTTAATAACTATTCCAGTGATGAGAAGCTTTATATCAATGATTTCATATAGGTATCCCATTTTATATCTACTTAATTATATTTGCAAGGTGGCAGCTGCAAGAAATTAGATTCAGTAGTTACTACATGCCTAAGGCCCATGATGATCTTCTTAAAAAGGAATATCTCAACTTATTCATGACTTATCCTAAAAAAGATCAAACTTTAAGCTCTTTAAAGTTTAAACTAAACCTTAGGATTCAGTTTTAGTAGGCATGTGAGTTGAATTTCAGAATTATTTATATTTTTTTTAAACAAAACTAATTATGTGATTTAAACAAAACTAACCTTGATCATACCTAAGCTTCTTTTATGTCCATTTACTTGAGATTTTCATTGTATTGGTGGCTAAACTTTCAAGCATTGTAAGCCATAGATAATTTTAAATGTTATTTTTTAAATGATATTTCTTGAAGTCTATTTTCTAATCTAGCGCCCATTTCCTGTCCATAAGTGTTTGAGACTTCTAGGCTAAGCTCACTGTGCTTTTGACCTCTTAACTCCCCATATATAAATGCAAATCCAAATATGATTATTCAAACTGAAACTTTCAGAACATCCTACCTCACAAGATGTAATTATGAACTTCTTAATCACCAATTAACCACCAGAGTATGTATTCTTTTTTCTGGAATATGTTTTTGCTGATTGTATATTTTCTCGAATATATATTTGCAGGTCAGTCAATCTTATTGCACTATTAGGGAGATCCTAAGTGATATTGCAAGAGTATAACTCTTAGAGATATTGAAGGAAAGGTTAATATCTTAACTTTTTGCTTAGTTCTATGATAGCAGACATGTGGATCATGATATTTCATAAGCAATTTCCAATAATTATCTCTATCTCAGTTAAAAGTGTATTCTTTCATGATGTATCAACGTGGTGGACATAAAACAGTATTTTTAAAAACCTTTGCTTAGATTGTATTTTGGAACTTTTCAATTTGGTATACTTTTCGATTTGATTACACAGCAGGAGTATTAAAAAAATACTCTAAACAAAAGGAAAGCAAGAACAACAAGAGGCAATTAAAAACGAAGAGCAAGAACAGTCTTTAAGTCCATCTCAATCAGCGCCTTGACTGAGTTTGAGAGGCCACTTTCCGATCTAAAGTACGCAAAACGGTTGCTCTGAATTCCTTCTTGATCCAACATATGGACAACACCATTGATTTCCTGAAGACAGTGGACTACCTGTATTTGAAGATTGTGCATTTCAAATCGGATAGTTTCTAACATCTGAATATTTCTTGAATTTTCTTCTGAATGGCTTTGTAAATCGTCTCAGAATCTGTTTGCAGTTGAAATCAGGTTCCCCCCATTTCTACACCACTTAATAGCCACAATTATAACTTTCAATTCAGCTTGAAGGATATAGATAGCTTGAAGGGGAAATGAAGCTCAGCCACAAAATTTCCGTGAGCTTCTTTAAGATTGCTCCACCTGCACTTTTGCCACTCTGGAATGTCACATCTGTATTCAAGTGAAGAGGATGTGGGAAAGCATTTTACCAAACTAAGACTCTTCGATGCCTTATTTCTTGATAATCTGGAATTAGCCAACATCACATACGAGTATTAATTAGATATCATATACAACATTCATATGTATATACTTTTTTGGACACACTCACATACATGTTTATGTTATTTCCCAGTACTTCAACATTTTGCAAGAAATTAGTTCAGGGTGAAGGTCAGCAATTCTTCGCAACTAGCGAAGAATTAGCCTCATGTTTATAAAAAAAACTTCGGTGTACAGTTTTTAGGTGTATATATATATGTGTAAGCCTATTAATGAGTCTTCCGTTTCCTATCAAGTTGGCCAGATG